GAGAGAGAGAGAGAGAGAGAGAGAGAGAGAGAGAGAGAGAGAGAGAGAGAGAGAGAGGAGGAGGAGGAGAAGAAGAAGACATGGTCACTGATAAAGAGCCAGTGTATTCTCCTGTAGCTCTAAGAGATTATCTTTTTCTATTTAAGTCTGATATCAGTGATGGCCAGAAGATAAAGATTGATAAATTGATGGCCCCAAAAGTAATGGCGCATCTCTTGGCTGTAGGGTGGTCACTTTCTTATATCTGGAAGAATTCAAGGTACGACAGAAGCTATAATTCGCCAAAAGGGAAGCGCTATGCTTTGCTTCACACTGCTTGCCAATCACTAGAGAGAGAGAAGTCATGGGCTTGGTGCAGAACACAAATGGTAGCAAAATGAGGGACTCATCTATCACTAAGAAGTCTATGGTGACATGGGATACAAGAAATAGGAAAATGAAAATAAACAGAGCAACCAGAAAAGGTCATGTCAATAGAAATCTCAATTTAGCAAATTCAGCCCCCCCATCATCTTCCTGGCCTCCACTGATCAGTAGTGCCAATATAGAGCTCAATTTTGCAAATTCAGTCCCCCCACCATTTTCCTTCCCTCCATTGTGCAGTGATACCAATATAGAGCTCAATTTAACAAATTCAGTCCCCCACCTCCGTTGTGCAGCAATGCCAATAGAGAGCTTGATTCATTAAATTTAGTCCCCCCACTATTTTCCTTGTCTCCATTTTGCACTAGGGGATCATCTGCTAGAGAGAAAGAACGACGACATCATTTGGCCAGAGCCACTGATAGACAAGGAGGTAAATTTTTTAAGGCTTTCAATGTCTCTCGGAAGAATAAGAACCAATCAGGCCTTTGCCGTGAGCTTCGTAACCTTCTTGGCACCCCAAAGAAGCAGTCTATTAGAACTGTTTTTTCATGGATGATAGATCATAATGTGATATTACCAAGGGAAAAGTTGTCTTGTTTTGTGGGTGGAGAGGACAGTTGTGTTAAAGGAGAAGCAAGAGTAACTAGCGTAGGGATCAAGTGTAATTGTTGCAGTGAAGTCTACAATATTGCTGATTTTGAGGCCCATGTCAGGACCCCATCCACCAAAATTTTTGTGGAGGATGGGAGATCATTTTATAATTGCCAGAGGAAAATGCTGGATCAGAGTGTGTTGAAAGACTTAAGGCTGAAATCTTGTGAGAGAAAGAAAGCATGTTACAACCAGTGTAAAAGTGATGCAATATGCTCAATCTGCCACTATGGAGGAGATCTTGTGCTATGTGAGCGCTGCCCCTCCGCATATCATTTGGCCTGCCTCCACCTAAAGGTATGTCTCCCCTTTCTCTTTGCTATAACTACATTGCTGATTTTACCATGTACAATGGTTGTATTAATTAGTTTCTTAGAAATTTGATCATCAATCTTGTTTCATATACTCTTTTGTTGAATATTGGTAAACTATCTTAATGTTTTATTAGGAAAATGGTTTCCTATTTGTCATACTTCAATCAATGTAGTGGATAACAATGACAAATATTTAATTTAAGGACACACACTCCAATTATCAGTGAAATATACTTGTCTGCTTCTAATTAGCAATGATGTATAATAATCAAATCTCTCTGTCTTTTGGTTGAATAACTATCTTGCGAAATTTTCTCTATTTTACTTTAAAAATGCCAATTGTTGTTCTGATCACAGTATTTGGACATGTTTGATTAATTATACACAAAACTTCACGAGATGATCCCATTTTTCTTGAACTGTTTTATTAAGCTTTATGTAGCGGGTAAGGTGGTTTCAGACATAACTTTGTATTGACAAATTCCTAAATTCAGGGCAACATAATTAGCAAAATGAAAAGATATTAGTTTTCTTATTATCGATGAAATATGCTGATTCATCTATCTTTCTCGGTCTTTTCACTGAATAGCTCTTATGTAGAATCTTCTCACCCTAACTTTAAGGGTACCCATTGTTGTCCTGCTTGCATTATTGGGACATGTTTAAGTAATTGTACATAAAGAGATGATCCAACTTGCTTGGATATGTTTTATCATGTTCAAATAGCAGGCCATGTGCTTTGTGTGCATGTGGAAATCATTGAATTATATAAATTACTAGCTAGTATGCTATTTCCTTAAATATGTATCCTTATAATTTCTGGAAATTTAAGAAATGCCCCAAGGAAGGTGGCCATATTGCATAATTTATGCCATTTAGTTACTTCTTATAGCAAGATATCAGTTTGTTACATCTATGTGTTTCTTAAAACAGTAATTTGGCTAGTAAATCCAAGTAATTTACTTTCAGGATTACTGCAGAACCTACAATTATGATCAGGTTGTTGTTGTCATCCATATTATACTAGAACCATATGACAAGAAGATCTTAGGGACATGAATGCTTTGTAAACTATACTAGATCCATATGACAAGATCAATGTTGTCATAAGAATAATCCCTCTGTCCAATGGCCTGGATGGTGATGAAGTGAGTGTGGGACCTGCTAAACATGATTGGATGGTGTGACCCTTCGGACTTTAATATATTATGTGATCATATAGGTCATAATAGATTTCCCCAGCCAAGTGCAGTGTTGGTGGTGGCTCTTTGGTGAGATCAGAGGATTCAAGTTCATGTCATTATGGACAATATCATGGCTGTTTTGGGCATTAGGAACAACATAATGAGAAGTTATTCCATGCACAGATAGTGCATGGCTACATGGTAACCATAGGGTCATCCACTGTCTTCCTCATATGGATAGTGGGCATTAACTTTAGCTCTCAGTATAAAAATACGGTACTTAATCTTTACCATTCCTTAATAGGATGTATGGAAGATGTCACCATTGGTGATTAATGTGCTTTCCCATATGAAAAATCTTCTTTTGCAACTGATGTAGATTTCTGTTTACATGCTTGTTTCAAGCACTCTAGATTATTTTTGGTAATCGAATGTGAGTGTTTGAGTGTGTGTGTGTTTGTGTGTGAGTGTTTGTGCCCGCGTGCACGAGAGCGCGGCCTTTATTATTCTTATGACATGACATGTATTCCTTTTACTACCAAATGTGTTTCCCCATATGAAAAATCTTCTTTTGCAACTGATGTAGATTTCTGTTTACATGCCTGTTTCAAGCACTCTATATTTTTTCTGGCAATCGAATGTGAGTGCATGAGTGTTTGTGTGTGAGCGTGTGCACGTGCATGCACGCGTGCATGAGAAGGCGGCCCTTATTATTCTTATGACATGGCATGCATTCCTTTTACTACCAAATTTGTCCTTTTAATTATTGATTTATTTTATTTTTATCTTTTTGTCTATCTAGTAGCTTAAACAAATTCAAAGTTTAAATTTTAAGTAGCTCCATGATTTAGGAAAAATGTTTGAGATTTTTTTTATGAACGTTAAAAATGTTTGAGATATTAGAAAATCAAAACTATCTGCCTCATGTCGAGAGATTCTAAGAGAGGTGGATATTGGAGATCTTAAGGGATGGTTAAAGGTACTCTTAGATGAAGCTTGAAAACGTTTTAAACCTCTTCAATTGAAATTAGGTTCTCTCACTCTCTCTCTCTCTCTCTCTCTCTCACACACACACACACACAAAGGGGTGCGGAGTGGGTAGGCCGCCTTCCTGTGGGCTTTCATGTCAGACCCAAATTAGGCTGGGTTCTTATCGGGCTTTTGTAGGCTCAATGTATTTTCAGGGCTGGCCTGGTCCAAAATTTTTCATAATCATTTAAAATGAAATTTTTACTTGCATTTATAAAGGCCCAGCCCAGCTCCATTTCTCAGGTTGGTCCTTGCAAGCAAGATTTTAGGCCTGAACACTTAATTTTTGGGCCTAGGCCTACCTTTCATGATTTTGGGCCAGGTTGGGGCCTGTTTGACCCTGAACACGGCCCGTTCCTGCACACACAACCAAATCAAGAGTATAGTTCCCTTTTATGGAAACCTCTATCAAATATTGAACCTGTCTCCCTGCCATTATCAAAATAACCACAACTTAACCTGAATAATTTTTTGTTGGCACATTTTTCAGGTTCTTCAAAGATTTTCAGTATGATCTTTGTTATTATAGTATATATATTATTATTTTGTATTTCCAATTTGCAACTAATTATGTTCTTAGGCATTTTGGATATTCTTTTACAACCTTTTGGGTCATTAGTGCTTTGGGCTTCACCAGTAAATCCATTAATCAAAGGTATCGTTTCACTCTGGAAAATTTTGAAATATCTTTTCCCTTGAAAAACCTTTCCCTTGGAAAATATTTTGAAGTGCAATAGGTGTTTGCAATATCTGTGACTATATTAAGTGGAACTTATGTTTTAATTTCTTTGCGAATAGCTTATTCATCGTTATTCATCATCATCATCATTTTAGCATTTTCCCAATTAATTGGGGTGCCAAAAGCTTATTAAACAGAACAATAATAGAAGGAATTTTCTATACAAGTCAAACAAGTTTCTAAGTTACAATGGTTGCTTGTCAATAATTTGTAACTAATCTGAAAGGTGTTTTTGATGTAGGATTTGCCTTCAGGAGATTGGTTCTGTCCATCGTGTTGTTGTGCCATATGTGGCGGGGGTGAAAGCAATGCTGATAGTGATCAGTTCACTGCAAAGACATTTCTTTATTGTGAGCAATGCGAGCATAATTGTGAGTTTCCACCCTATATTGAAAGAAATTTCTTTTCGTCTTTTGCTTTTCAGCTAAATGCTTAAAGTGGTATTTTATCTGTTTATTTTCAGATCATGTGGGTTGCTGCAATGAAAGACGGCCCATAGTACTGAAAAGCTATCCAGAAGGGAATTGGTTTTGTAGCAAGAAGTGCTCAGATGTATGTTAATCTTTTTCCTCTCTTAATTTATTTTATTGCTTAAGTAAATTTTTAGTTACATGGAGATAGATTTATCTATGGTTATTATTTAGAAAATATTTTGGCTCTTGGTTATCTAACACTACCTTTTGATGGCCTTGATGCATAAAGTCATAAACATGTATATGCTTGATTAAATGCTCAAGAAAAAATTGGCATGCCTGATTACCAAATCTAGAACAACAATGATTGTCTTTCATAAAGATAAGTCTAGGTTCAGTCCCTTATTTATCTTCATCCAACACTTTGAAGAATCAAATATCAAGAACGAAAGTGTAACATTCACCTGTCAAAGAGAGGTTGAACACCTTAATACCCAATAAAAAAAAAGAACATATGACACTACAAGCGTAATTAATCTCCTCAACTCTCCTATTAAACTGCTATCTAGCATCAGCAACTGACCACTTTATCCAATTTGGGAGTAGTAATAATTAAACAGTTATTTATTTATTTAGTTTTAGTTTTTTAATTCTCCTTTCATTCCACCTCAGCTGAGTTTTCCATTTCCTATTTTATTTTTTGTGCAAGTTGATGATGCTGTGGAGTGAGCAAAACAAATAAATTGATAGAAAATGTAAAGAGCTGCAAAACATGGAGATGATTGAACACCCCACACCTTCCCTTGCCACTACGTGATAAAAAGAGCATGATTAGAAGGAAGTTGATTGGTTACTACATTGCTTAAGAGACTCCCCTACAAATTTAGTCCACTTTACAAGGACCAAGGACTAATAACTCCTTTTTTTTGCCCATCGCATCACATTTAGGAAGTCACCTTCTATGATGAGAAACCACAAGTGTCTATCAATTTTTCCCTTTCCACCAAGGTACATCTCCCTTACTCCCGTTTAGCCCTTTGGACTTTATCTCAAGGTACTGAACCATTTTATTCTTTCCAACTTAGCATGTTTTTTTTATTCAAGTGGAGGCTTTAGCATGAAACTAACAACCTTCACCTTTTAAGATAAGGTATCTTGTCTTTTTGAGTTGCCAACTTTTTGAAAACATTGACCATCTCCCCCATTATCCACCCACATTAGACATATATCATCTGGTAGCAAAAGGTCTTTACCTACTTCTTTTATTCTACCCCAGTTTCTATTGACTGCACCAACATATGCCTGCCTCTCTTTTTTTCTTTCGAGGAGGAGGGGGAAATCTCTTTTCTAATATAAAAAGACAAAATACAGATATAAGAACTTTTCTAAGTGAATCTTCATTTCTTATTGTTCCTCTTTATCTCTTTTTTTTTTGTCTTTCTTGTCCTTTATTGATGGTATCTTTCCCAATGTCTATCCTCCTGTCCCATGCTGCATGTCATAAGGGTGATATTGCTAAGTGGAAGGTCTCAGTCAATGTCAAGTGGCCTTTAGGGTAGGTGCACCTTCACAAATTCTGTGGGCTAGCTCATTAGGTCTTATGCTAGTTGATCCGAGAGCTGGTTACATAATGTAGCTGACTATTTTGGGTACTGGCTTTTTCATCGCATTAGTAGAGTTTGGTATACTGCAAATTTTTCATCACCACTTTTGCAATGTGAATTACATATGATCTATTCCATGATATTAGAAGCACATGTATCTTTAGGCTTTTATTCTTTGCATCTAGAAGCTGTCTGAAATTACATGGAACCTTAGAGATGTGTAGGGCTAGCTAAAAAAGTTATGGAGACAATCATTCTAGTCAGGTGAAAGGAATTCATAGAATCTTACTAGATGACATATTCTTTCTGTGAGAACAATAGACATTACTTTCTTAAGTATAATTTGGAAGTTATTTCTACCTTTATCCACAAGTTTTTGTGTGTTTATGATTTATTTTTAGTTGTTTGAAATTATTCACTTAATGTAATCAATTGTAGGTAATTATGGTGTTTTCTAATGCTTCCTGGTCTTATTGTTTGTAGATTCATACATGCCTAAATGACCTTATAGGCAAACGAATTCCAACAAAGCTTCCAAGCATAACTTGGACACTTCTCAAAGCTAGGAGAAATTGCAGTAAGTACAATAACTCAGAGACTGAAGAGATGATGGGGTATCGTTGCAAACTTTGTGTTGCATTTGATATCTTACATGAGTGTTTTGTTCCGGTGATTGAACCCTGGACAAACAGAGATATTATTGTGGACCTTCTTTCTAATAATAGGTAGCCTTTTTTTGTTCACTGCGAGTGCAATCTTGCATAATTTTTCTTATACAATTTATTGTTGCTTGGGATACTTGTTGGATTTACTTCTAAAAAAGGTTTTCACATGTAGACTTTTCTTGCCTAACACAGTCTTTGACAAAATAATGTAGTTTTAGAGCCCAAACAATGATAAATAAGAGGGTTGAAAAAGGATCAAATTACATAGAGGTGAAAACGTGCCTAACTTGCATTGGGTAGGAGCTATTATTTAGATTAGTATTTTATATGGAAATTGTATACTATGAGACCATTTATCTTTGATACAAGGAGGTCATAATTGCTACTTGCTATTGGATATCAAATTGGATGACTTGGGTTGTGATACAAAGTTCGAGTTTTTGTGTTTTGAACTTTGAGTCCAGTCAATGATACACTCACAATCACGCGATTTGAAATAGAGATTGTATACTATGAGACCATTTATCTTTAATACAAGGAGGTCACAATTGCTATTGCTATTGGACGTCAAATTGGATGACTTGTGTTGTGACACAAAGTTAGAGTTTTTTTTTTTTTGAACTTTGAGTCCAGTCAATGACATTCACAATCACTCAATTTGAAATCTGGCAGATGAGAGTGACTGTGACCTCCTTGTATTGGAAGTGAATAGTCTCTTCATATACTTTTCTGTTTATATATGCCAAGGTGATTATCTCTGTTCACCTGACTGAGATTTGCACAGAGAAATTACTTGATGAAATCTACATTATGTAATAGTATGAGATCCTTGATGATAAGATCATGAAACCCAATTCGTGAAATAAAGAGCTATATGATTCGCCTATTAGAGAGTATTTATAGATTTTTGTACATACTTATGGTTAAAGGTATTTCTGACATTTAAAACGAGTGTATGATCATTTTTTATCTTTTATACTTGTTTGTCTTTTTCTTCGTGGGAGATATTGCTTTTTATCTTAATGAGAGGTAAATTTTTATACCAAAGTGTTCCGACTTGACCTAGTGTCAACCTTGGGTGAATTTGTGCTTCCCTTGGAATTAGTGCTTGAAACCCTAACCCTTGAAACCATTATCTCTATATGTTAGACATCTATTGTGATATCCCTTGCATATTTGAATTTGTGACCAGACATCACTTGGATAAAAAAAAAAAAGCAGCAATAGGCTACCGTGTAATTTTGTACTTAGGTTACATAATCACCATAATGAATTATAACCATGAGATCATGTGGAGGAAACAGGTGCAAAGCTTGATTTGCTCGGTACATCTCACTGATATGAGTGGAGTTTACACTCCTCAAGAGCTAAATTTTGTGTACATGTCAAGTGATGTCATGTCTCTTGTGATGAGATCATAAGGGTTTTAGCTTTACCAGCTGGAGTGCTGGGTCCAGAATTATGCTTATGTTAATCTTCATAGAGAAAGCAACAATTTTTGGCTTATACTCTAGTATTAGTATTGAGTTTTCGGAGTATAATAGCTGATGATTTTTCAGTTTTGGGGTTATCCAAAAGGAAATATTAACCATTTTAGTAACCATAGATTTAGATTGTGGCTCTCATCATTTTCTCATAATAGGACCTGAATGTGATTCAATTGGTTCTCTAAGTCTTAGCAGGAGTAGTTAGTTATAACTAGCTTTGCGCGCACAGTGAGATGGCAAGACCTCAAAGGGGTTATTATTCAACGAGGAATCATGATTGGGGGGGGGGCGGGGGTAGAAGGGGTAAGTCTAGAAGAGTAATGTATTAGTCCAAGAGAGTACTGTATTAGTCCAAAAGAGCACTGATTGGCTAAGGACTTCTAATGGTGCCCTAGTTGAGTAAGGTGGCCCTTACCCTAATTAGTTTCTAGTCTGTTTCTGGATCTCTATGTATTATTTGAGAGTCGAAAACCAAAACCTAGTGTAGAAGTTTTAGTTTTAATGCAGTAATATCCATGATGGACATGGGTGCCTAATGTTGGTACAGTGGAGCTAGTCCATTGGGTGATTTTGACATTAGAAAGAAGAATGCACTTAATGAATCTACTAGAGTTACATTAGTTTGTTTGAAGTTCACTAATTGGAACCAATGTAAAAATTGGTCCCTAATATCAAATCTCCACAATATACACACTCACCTCACTTTTTGATGCTACAAAAACATGCAGTGACAAAGCCAATGAGTTCATCACTTTGATTGCAAGGCTGCTACTGTCAACTGCACCCCAGGATACTACATCTTGACCATGTACAACATTGAGGAAAAACTCAGATTCATACCTGAAGATATCATCTTCAAGAAAGCATCATGAGAACATTCATAAATCATGCTACCCATGGTGTACAATGCATAGCTGACATAATAACAAAGGGGAGGTATTCCACACTCCAATGAACCACATAAAACCAATATTCAAGCAGGGAATCATCACCCTCCAATGCAATAGTGAACAGTTATGAAGAGAGAGTGCGATCCAACAGTACTGGAAATGTCCATTGGTGGTTCTCACTTTCTCTCCATTTCATTAGGAAGTGCTGACCCCAACATACAATTGTTTCCACCGATCATTGGAATTTAGCATAGCTTCCCATTACAATAAGTAAGCCATCATGATAGAGAACTTCAGCTACCAATCACAGCAAAATCATGTGAAGGAGACATCTCACCTTATTGGGAATAATTTAGCATGAAGCTCCTTCAGAGATTCTAGATCGGATGGCCGTGCAAGCGCATGAACTTTCATTGCCTTTTAAGCCACCTTCGCCAAAATCATAGTGTAACAATCCTAAAAATTTCAAAAAAAAAAAAAAAAAGGAAGAAAATATGCTTTTAAATAGGTGATGTCCTGTTTAAATATGATGGTCCTTGAGGACCATCACTATTTTCAAAAGATTTGCCTTTGCCTTTACTTTTTTTCTTTTGCCTGCTTTTGCCTCCTGCTGCTTGCAACTGGCAACGTCCTTTAGCGGACGTGGTTTTCGTACGATAAAAGTCTGCTTTTAACGCGACACCTCAGGTATGAGGTAGAGCGTAATAAAACAATATAATAATACATTATAAGAATTTAAATAGGGGATGTGAGCACTCCCACCCTAAAACAAAACTTTGAGATCTCTATCTGGTCGAAACACAGTGAACTTCTCTCT